AACATGAAGCATTCCACAATCTTAAAGCAGATGGTCCAAAAGATCAGAATGGATGAAGGATAGAACTTGTAACATTTCCTTGTGACGTTTTCAGTAACATGTCAAGAAGAGGATGATCTCATTATTCATAAGGGGCACATATTACAGCTTGTATAAATGTAAGACATTTTGTTAGAAGAATTGATCATTTCTTAAGTGTTTATGATAATATGAAGAGAAGCCCTCAAACTATTTGACAACACTACTATGTAGTGACACCAGAATGAGAACATTCAAGTTAGGATATGTTCAGCACGAAGAGATCCTTGAGTACCCACTTTGGGGCATGACCAGAAACTCAGATCATGTTGAGATGACAAGATTCAGACCAAGAAGATATTGAGAATGAGTCTCACAACTTGAGTGTGAGGGAAAACCGTGAATTTGAGCAGAGTTTACCTTATAAAGCAATGAACTGAGCATCGATCAATGGCAGTCCTGGAAGAGCAACTCTGAAAACGTAATTGAGCTAAGGACGGAAATGGGGCAACACAGTCATATTTCTGACTATAGCGTGATGTTGAGAGAAAACGTTTTATCCAAATAAAGATAGAAGACGAAGACGACAAGATGGAAGAAGATCAGAGGGCTCTTCCAAAATGCAAATTGGAAATTATGAGTCGTTACACTGATATCTAAAGCATACCTTTGAAAAGAATGATCAAATGGAAGAAGATCGAGCTCACCACTCTAGAGCCAAGTGAAGATTGATTCAACATTTATGCATTCATGAAAACATCATTTGCATAAAAGAAAATGCATTACACTGATACATTGAATTACATTTGTGTTTCATGCATAAATACATGATTTTGACAGATCTTTCAGTGAAAAGAGAATAAGCAGAATGTTAGAATCCCAATGATTGAAATGAAGATTTCAAACCTCAAATGCAAAGAGTTACATTTAAAGAGAGAGTTGCATTTAAAGAGGCATACCCTGAAGAATTGAGAGGTTTAATCCATAGAAGAAACATTACTCTGAAGTGATGACCATCAGATAGAGAAGAAAAACAAAGATTTTTGTGTATGAAGAAGCGAATCGATATATTGGAAAGACTTGCGCACATGAGATTGGGGCAATTCAATCTTAAGCCTTCACTAGAGAGTAGTGAAGCAAACAATCTGAAGCCTTCACTGGAGAGTAGTGAAGCAAACCGTCTTAAGCCTTCACCGAAGAGTAGTGAAGCAAATCCATCAGCAAGCCTTCCGAGCATAATGATTAAGTCCTCATGGCAATCTTAAGCCTCCACCAGAAGGAGTGAATCAATTTCATCTTAAGCCTTCACCTGAGAATAGTGAAGTAAATCCATCTTAAGCCTTCACCTGAGAATAATGAAGCAAATCCATCTTAAGCCTTCACCTGAGAATAGTGAAACAAATCAATCTTAAGCCTTCACCAAAGAGTAGTGAAGCAAATTCATCTATAAGCCTTTAGAGCAAGACGATAAGTCCTTTGGGCCATCCATAAGACCCTCGGGTAGGATGTTTTCACATGAATTTGAAAGTGAAAAAATGATGTCTTAAGAAGTTGAAATTTTTGAAAACTAAGAATGCGATTTTCAAAATTTCACAATTTATAAGTCCTTCGGGCCATTAATAAGTCTTTCGAGCATGATGCTTAAATCCTTCGGGTCATCTGTAAGTCTTTAGAGCAAGATGATAAATCCTTCGGGCCATCCATAAGACCTTAGGGTAGGATGTTTTCAAATGAAAAAAATGATGTTTTAAGAAGATGAAATTTTTGAAAACTAAGAATGAGATTTTCAAAATTTCACAATTTATAAGTCCTTCGGACTATCAGTAAGTCTTTCGAGCATGATGCTTAAATCCTTCGGGTCATCTGTAAGCCTTTAGAGCAAGATGATAAGTCTTTCGGGCCATCAGTAAGTCTTTCGAGCATGATGATTAAATCCTTCGGGTAATTTGTAAGCCTTCACCAAAGAGTAGTGAAGAAGAATCACACCAGAAGATTGTTCGAGTTCATACCCCTTAAAGAAAGAGGGAGTGAACCCATTTTCAGAAGATTATTCTAGTTCTGTACTCCTTGAAAAGAATAGGGAGCGAACCCATTTTGAGAAGATTTCTCGAGTTATATACTCTCTGAAAGAATAGGGAGCATACACGTTTGCTGAAGATTGTTCGAGTTCTATACTCCCTGAAAGTAATAAGGAGCAAACTCGTTTTCAGAAGATTTCTTGTACTCTCTGAAAGAATAGAGAGTAGAGACGTTTGTTGAAGATTATACGAGTTCCATGAACCCTGAAAAATAGGGAGCGAACCTGCTGATCGAAGGTTGATCAAGTCCTATACTCTCTGAAAGAATAGGGAGCAGACATGTTTTCCGAAGATTTTTCAAGTCTCACTTACCCCGAAGGGGGAGTGGAGCAGATCTCTTATTAAAATTTTAAAAAGTATAGATGGAATTGGACTAAAACGCGTTGTCTTTTTTTTTATCTTTGCCCTATTCTTGTTAACACAAGAATGAGCAAAGATGGACAGCTGTAGACACCCGTTTTGTCCGGGATATAATAATAATATTATTATTATATATTTTATTAATAATATTAATTATTATGTTTTATTATTTTGCAGACCAAACTACAATGCAGGCCCAAACCGGACCCCATTACATCAAACTAAATTATATGACCCGGATCCAGTATTAAATCGTTTAGATGCTGACACCACCAATGCCTTTCACGTGAAACCTACAGCAAATTTGACACTAGCTCAAGCCAAGTCACTGTCGCCAATCGTGCCACCATCGAATCATACTGCACAAATAATCCACATGCCAAAGTCAAAAATAGATTCCACCTACCCAAACCTAAACCCATCAAAATTTCACTAAATGAAGAAAATCATGATGCAATGATAAAGGAATTTGGTGAAGAAAAAGGAAATAAATGAGGACTCGGTGACCATTCGAAAGGGGGGACGAACAACAAAGGGGGGCTCTCGCACAGAAAAAAAATAGAGGACAGCATTCGGGAATTCACAAAAAAAAACAATAATAGAGGGAGAGCAAGAAAAAACGATAGAAGAAAAGGAGGGTTCTGATTTTTTTCGAAGGCAAAAAGTTTTTTTTTCTCTTTCGGGGAGATTGAAGCTGGAAATAAATGTAAAAGAAAAAGTGTAATCATCCCATTAAAACAAAGATAAGCAATCGAAACATGGAATTTTCCTAGCATCCATATATCATTCGTCCACGGTTTTTTTTTATTTATTTCTTATTTACAGTAATATTTTCTTTATTTTTTTTAATCAATTTCGAAGTAATATACTTTGCCTTTTTAAAATGCATTTCTTTCAATAACATTCTTCGTTCCTAGCATAGAAAGAATTAGATATACTGTAAAGGAGGGGTCGTTTACCTTCATGGTCAGTCCTCTCATCGCGGAAGTAATCGAGCCATCAGGGTTAAGGAAGACCGATTTTCCTTAGTCGTTATTTGTGTTTTGCATGTGGGTTTCAAACCTTCGTTTTGAGTCTTAGATCTTCAGCGTGAGGGGTCTCGAGGGTCTCGGTTAGGAATAACAAAGAAAAGGGTTTAATGAATATCAGGGGTAGTATAATTTACCTTGTTGACACAGTGAGGGGCTGGAGCGAAGAGTGACCACAGAGGGTTGTCGGTGGTCGGCGTTAGCTTTGTTGGGTTTTGAAATCTCGGCCATTTGTGTTGAAAGAGAGAAATAGAGAGAAACGGCGCTGATGGATTTGATTTAGCAAAAGTAGGGGTTTAGTTATTAGGGTAGAGCTTAATTTAATATTTAGGTTTTTTTTTGAAACGGCATAGTTTAAATAAGGTACATGATTCGTTTTTGAACCGTTTTTAAGCGCATCACATGTTAGTTACCATTTTTAGTTCAATATTTGAAGTTTTATTGTTTCATTGTGATTTCATTAACCAATTTGATTTAATGTGTACGTATATAATGCCTCATATTTATTTTTATATATATTTTAATTGGATTATCATATACGTATGTTTCATTAACCAAATTTGAGTATTATTAGTCCATTTTAATATGTTTATAAATTATATATGGTTGTATTCATTTATATATATAAAATTAGGCGTAATTTATGTTTTTAAAATATGTATGTTATCCTCACGTACATAACTCGACATTATTACATAATTTGATTAAGGGCAATATCTTTTTAATTAAAAATTATTTTAAGTGGGTTGTCTTAACTGATTAGATATTCGTTTTTAACGATTTTAAATTAGAAGTATATCCCATTAGTGACACCTAAAAATTGATTCATCACTTTAAAATTTGGGAATTAAAGAAAAAGAAATGTTCGGCTATTTAAATTTATCGAGAAAAAGATTGTTATAACTGTTTAAGATCTGGTCTCGATATTTTTTAAATAATCGAACATTATTTATCTTTCTAAAGACTTGGTAATTTTAACTTAATTAATTTTGGTGCTTTTGAATATAATAAAATTCGTATGTTGTTGTCTTGTTGGGGATCATAAATCAAATTAAACTCGAATTTGTAAATTTCATTGCAAAGACATTAATTAATCGACTAGGTACCGATTTAGGGCGTTGTGGGGGTGCTAATACTTCCCCACACGTAATCGACTCCCGAACTCATTTTCTGGTAACGCATACCTCAAATTATCGTTTTAATTAAAATTAATTTTTATTTAAAATGACGAAATATTTTTGGGTGCCCAATCACACCCTAATCAAAGATTGGTGGCGACTCTTCGAACCTGTTTTTATCGTGAATGAATTCCTAAATTTTCGGAACGAGATGTTTTCTAAAATCACATTGTTTTTAATAAAAAATCAATTACAAAGAGGACAATTAAAAAATTGCTGCGGTTTTCAAAATCTCCCCCACTCGAAAAAAAAACCGTTTCGACAGTATGAGATGCAGCACACAATTTGATTTTCTTGCTTTATGCACATTTTACTTAAAACTTAATGTCTCTCGTCAGTATCGGGAATCTGGTTGAGGAATTGCAGAGACAGAAAATGAAGAACATGCAGGTTTGTGCTTGAATCTTAGAAATTAAGTTTATAGTCTCACTATAATGGTACAATCCTCCGAATAGAGCAAAATTGAGCATACATGTTTCTAATGCATAGTTGTATCTGACATTCGCTCACCTGACTCGGAGGAATTTTCATGCATACCCAAACATTTTTGTTGTTTCGATCTGATGTTACTTGCACGCATGTATGTGTCAAACCCTGGTATGCTCAAACGTTTTTCTAGATCACCCTTGTATTCTCTTACTCATTTCCTAATAAGTTTAACATATCGATTACTATATATATATATCATACTGAGTGGAGATGGAGTTGATTTTCTTCTTGTGTCATCCTCTTGCAGTTAGAGAAACAATTAAATAAAGCATTGGCCAACAACATAAAGTGAAGGGTTTGAAACAAACAGACAAATCTCTGATTATATTTGGTCAGTGCTTTAGGGTTCATAAAGGTATTTGAGTTGAGGAATAGTACTAAGGGTACCTTGTTCTTTTTATTGTATTATTTTCGAGTGTACCATATATATATATATATATATATATATATATATATATATATATATATATATATATATATATATATATATATAGTTTAAATGCATATGGCCCTGTGTTGAAAAAGGCCCTCAGACAGGGATGCCCCAATTTTGTGATGCCATGATGCTCGACTTTGAGTTGAGTTGAGTTGAGGTTTAGTCTCTCATGTAATGTAACTTTGTTGTAATTTATTCACATCCACATGATATTGTAATATAGAGTTTATTTGTTTCACTAAAAATAGTTTCTGGAAAATTATTTTTGAAAATTTAATATTTTCTAATGTTTGGATAATGTGTGAATTACTTTCCGTTTCGTAAGTTTTACTGAAAACATTTTTCTGAAAGTTGTTTTCAATGGAAGAAATACACATTACTAATTTTCTTGATTTTGCATATTTTATTCTGCTATTGAGGTAATTTTATTACTATAATATTATATTTTGTAAAACTTTGAATATATATTATAATGTTTTATTTTTATAAGTACATCATATTAATGTCACTATTTTTTCATAATTGTAACTAATATAAATAATTTATGTTAATTGTGTTATAATTATATCATTTTTATTAATTATTTTCATGATATATTTGCAATTTCTGTTGTTTGATAAAAGACAAATATTATGTAAAGTTTTACAAAAATCCATTTTTATTGTTCAAAAAATATGTAATTTTTTTATAATTAAACTAGAAGACTAAATTTGAGTGTCAATTAAATTAATAAAAAAAATTAATTTAAAACGCTTTTTTGTTTTATTATCATAATTTAATATAAATTATATAATAATTATTTATTTGATACATAGATTTGTTATAAATAATTTCTGCAATAATTCCAACTAATTTTTTTTAACAATTTTAACTTAGGGAGAAAGGAAGTAGAATTTGTATATTAGTAACTGCATTTGCTTCACCTCTCATATAATGAATTTGTATATAGCTGTTGTGATATTAGAATGTCATGTTACGTCATCAAACTATTTAAGGGTAAACTACTCATTTAGTACATAAATTATCAATTTTAATCCGTTTTAGTATCTAAACTTTTAATTTTTTTCAAAATCATACCTAGAGTTCAGTTTTTGTTTCATATTAATATCATGCCGTTAAGTTTTTTAAAAAATGAAAGTCTAGGTACCAAAACATGTTTAGTACCTAAATCATACTTAAGTTTTGAAAAATAATTAAAAATTTAGGTACTAAAACGGATCAAAATTGATAGTTTAAGCATTAAACGAGTTAAGTTTTTAACGACAGGGTATTAAAATGAAATAAAAAGTAAACTTTAGGTATGATTTTGAAAAAATTGAAAGTTTAAGTACTAAAATAGACTAAAATAATAATTTAAGTACTAAATATGTAATTTACCCTTTATTTAATTATCCGTTTATCGTTAAAAATTAATTTTATAATAATTTTAAGAAATAACTTTTAATATTTTTTCCAAAATATACTTTTAAAAAAATAAATAACAGGAAATAAATAGAGTTTAATCGAGTTTTATTTAACACGAATAAAATCTAAAGACAACGTACGTGAAAGTTGATAATTATTGGTTGTTGATTTTGATAGCAAAATATCTAATCTCGGATTTCGGTTCGGACTCAGGGATGGAGATCCGCCACATCTGACTCGACTGAGTCTGACAAGGTCAGTGGTGGAACCCAAACCCACCGAGCCAGGTTCCGGTCGTGGTTAGGACCATCAGCCCCAAATCTTTCTTCGGTCAAAAAAGAGCTTTGAAATTTGAATGTGCAGGTGATTGCACATGCGTGTTCACGTGCATGCACGACTCGTGCAAAATTTCCGATCAAACCCATTTAATAAAAATAAATTCGAACGAATGAAATGATCTCGGTAATTAAATAAATGATTATTAGTTTTAGAAATTTTGGATTTGAGCATGTCGTTTGTAGAGAGAAATATTTAAGTATTCATTATCAAATGATTAAATTTTTTTAAAAAATATATCATCTTATAATTACTTAAAATTATTTAATTAAACAAATTAAAAATATTATTGTATCAAAAAATTTAGGGACACAACTCTTCTAACTTACTTGATGATGTGGTCTTTAAATTTATCCTATTAAAATATCAACCACTCCTAATATTTGTTTAAATAATCACTTTGTCACATCCAAATAATAGTTCAATCGATTTCTGAGTCTTAGGACGCACCCTTTAACCAATAAATGCCTTTTGTCATTATTTATCAACTCAAAACATCAAATAAGATAATTTGACAAATTCAATTATCCCATCATCCGGGGCGGAGGCACTAAGTCCCTAACTCACTTACTTGATGACATACTCTTTAAATTTATTATATTAAAATATCAATTACTCCTAATACTTATTTAAATAATCACTTTGTCATATACAACTCACGATCCAAACGACCTTAAGAGTCTTCGGACACACCCCTAACCAATAAATGCATTTTTTTTCATTATTCATCAGCTCAAAATCGTAGATAAGATAATTTGAAAAATTCAATCATCTCATCGTCAGGGACGGATGCACTAAGCATTTTAAGGGCCAAGTACATCTCATTATTTTAGATAAGTTATTAAATTTAGTTTAATATATTAAGGGAATCAAAAAAATTACATACACATTTTGTTATAAAAAAATATTAAAATTTCTAATCTCATTTTTAAATTTTTGTATTCGTCATTACTTATCGTCATACAAATGTCGGACAAATAAGATAGATTCAAGATGACTAATATTGCCTATCGGTAGACATTGTCCTCCCTTTATCCAATGTTGCCATATGACATCAAGGACATATGATACATAAAAGGACTTTTTTTTCTTCCTGAAGTTTTTTTTCTTTTTTTATACAAAAAATTTAACTCAAGTCTCATCCCTATTATTATCGGCCAATAATTCCCCACTCACATCAAAATAGGTGCATCGTAAATCATTATCTTTGGTATACATCAACATGTAAATCATGATCTTTACATATCAAATAAAAACTTAAACCTAGAATCTCAAAACCTTAGTATTCACCCAAGGTTCAATTGATGAAGGGGTTTAAGAGAGAGAGAGAGATGACAATTTCCTATATTATCTGTCATCGGTACTCATCAAAAAAACAAAAGAAAACATAAAGAGATGCACAAGCAGATCTCTAATCTCAACTCACTCTGCTCTAAACAAAGCCTTTTTTTTCCTTCGAGTTTTTTAATACTTTATCTCGATTAATTTGGATCGACCCGTATTATACACTTTATTTTAATGGGTAAGTTTCTCAATGAGGATTTTCTACCTACACAAGATTTCAAACTCGAAATTTATTTAAATGATATGATCAAGCTGATTATCACTTGAACTCGTTGGTCAAACAAAACCCTTTTTTTAATGCTCCTTTCTCCATTGTTTCTGCATAAACTAATTGTTTTTTTTACTGTTTTTAATAAAGGTTTTGATATTTAAAAGATCAAAACCAAGAACCCAGAGCTGCCTCAGATTCCTTTTCATTGGAAAATGTCGGACAACCACCGCTTTAAATATCGTTACCATCTTGAGTTCAGCTCAAAAGCTTTTTCACACTCAACATACTTTCCCGAGAAAATCTTCAAAGTTTCCAGAGAAAAAGAAAATATCAGCCCAAGAAGAAAGGTAAGCAACGTTTTACTGCTTAATGTATTTCCGGTTGTTTCATATATATTGGAAATAATAGCATCAACTTGGGTTTTCTTTTCTGTAATCTGTTGAAAATAGTACATTAGGGTTTTTCATTAATTAAAATATAAATCTTTTGTATGTTTAGGGTTTTTTTAATAGAGAGAATTAAGTCTATTAATTCACATAAAACCTAGACTTTGAAATGCTCCCAATATATATATATTATCGACTGTCTATTTTTACTCATACAATGATCCTAAATTTGTATAAAACTAAATAAGTTTTACATTACATAAACAATGCATCATTTGCAGGAAAAAATAAATAAAAGAATGAGTAACTTTTAATCCTTGAACTCGATAATTTTTTTCGATTTAGTCTCTGACTTTTTTTTTATCTATATTAACCCTTCAACTTGAATTCATCTCTTATTTTTAGTCCTTCTGATGATTTGTCATTACGAGTGGATTCAACATGACATAATTTCCGAACTTAAATTCGTGTTTTGCATGCATTTTAATACTTTTTGGAAACCGATTTTGTTTGAATTTGTTTGAACATCCAAATTTTAGAAAATATTAATCGAATTAAGACTCGGTTAACTGATACGTATAAAAGAATTAAATTCGAATCCGAGTTGGTGATGCATTTAGGAAAGCTAGGAATAGGAGGATGAAATGTCCATTCATGAAAATGGGTGACTGAAAGAGTTGTTGCAAAGCTTAAAATGGAGAGGAGAAGGAGACATCAAGTTTTGATTCTTTTGTGTTACATTTGCATTCCGGAATGGAAATTAAAGTATATTTTTCACTCCCCATCGACGGTGTCGTTTCACTGTATCGTCTCAGTCACATTTCCATTTTCTAACTCTTTCTCCCACCGCCCCCCTTTTTCATTTTCATTTTCTTCATTATGTTTGTATATTTCTTTTCTTTTTTATGCCTTTTTTCCCAATAATTCATTATAATCCGAAATCAAGATCAAATATTAAGACGGATAAATTATTTTAAGGCACAATGTTAAAATTAGCTCCTAATATTTATTAAAATTGTCATTTTGTCCCTTATTTGACTTTTTGGAGCATTTTGGCCCCCAATATTTCACTTTTAAGGCAAAAAGGCCCCGAACATTTGACATAATAATAACTTTGTCCTTTATTTATTTAGGCATTTTAGCCATCAACGTTTCATTTTAGGTAAAAAAAATGCTCATTTTTTGAAGCATTAATCGTGTGTTAACTAATGATTTTCATCCATAAAGGAAGTTTTTTTATCCCAAAGTGAAATGTTGGGTGTCAAAATGCTCTAAAACAGGAATATGGTCCAAAATGACTATTTTGATCAACATTGAGGGCTATTTTTGGCATTATGCCTTATTTAAAATGTTTTTTAAACTTTTTAAAATTCTATTTTGATCCCAAAAATATGACTCTCATTCTAAATTAGCCCTTAAACTTTTGAATATTCTAATTTTATCAATAAACTACGATCCTCTTTTTAAATTGGTCCCCCAAATTTTTGAATATTCCAATTCCATCCCTAAATTCAATCAAATATGTAATTAGTTTCAACTTTAGTTTAACCTAAAAAATTTCTTTCAAATATATAGTAATATAACTTGGCCTAACTATTTTATTAACAAGATATGTATTTAGTATATGCATATAGTTTGAAATGAAATTAGAATGTTCAAAAATTTTGGAGACTAATTTAGAATGAAGGTCATAGTTTGGGGATGAAATTGAAATGTTTAAAAGTTTGAGAATTAATTTAGAATGATAGTCATAGTTTAGGGGTGAAATTAAAATATTTAAAAATTTAAGGACTAATTTAAAATAAAAATCGTAATTTAAAGAGGCGTGATATAATTAAATCGAAATTAAGGATGAAATAAATTTTTTATCTCAGTAAAAAGTATAAGGGCTATGTATAAAAAAATTGTGTTAATACGGACATGGACCGAATGGTGCATTTGTTTGTGATGACCTAATCCTAAAGTTGTGGAAGACATAATCTTTAAATTATCAATAATTATCGATGATTTTAATTTTTTATTATATTAAACAATGATTTTAGTAAATATTTTATTTTATAAAATTAATTTCCGAAAACATTTTTTCTTTATTTTTCAAAACCAATATTTTTCTAAATAAACGGATATTTATATTTGTTTTTATTATTAAAAATGATTTTTTAACAAAACAAATTACGAGACATAATAACCGTTTTGGGAATGGAGAGGGTAGTTTGGTAGTTTACGAGCCTCCCCGTTGTTATCGTGTCAACCTACCAAAACAGGGAGCTTTAGCCGTTTAGGTAATTTCAGAAATAAAAAACAAAAACAAATATCAAACTCTCCACGCGCCAAAACCATAAACTCTCCCCATTCGCGGACTCCCATTGGTATTTCCCAACCAACGGCGACCAACGATTTATGCGCGTGTGCGTCACGTCATTTCTTCAGCTAAAAATGCATGCAAGAAAATATAACAATAGAAAAGACCTCAGTTTCCTCACTTCAATATTTTACCCTTTATATATATGGAATAAAGCAACGTTCGCCCCCTTAACTTTGTATTTTTCTCTTTTTGGTACCTGAATTATTTTATCTACATTAGTCCCTAAACTTGACAGTTTTATCATTTTTATCCTTTTATAGGTTATGTAAACGTGGAACTACAAGCATTAAAGGAACTAAAAATGGGTCAAAACCCATATTCAGGGTTAAAGTGCACAAAAATTGTAGAGACTAATATGAAACATATTACTAATTGTATGGACTAAAAGTTATATTATCCATTTTTAAAAAGGATCTCATGTCCACAACGTAGAGGCTTATATAATACTAATATTCTATTCAATCAGTAAGATTTCTCGAGAGACAGAGAGAGATGATGAAAACCAAAGGGTTTTTTTTAATTATTTATGAAACTTTTGCAGAATTTTGAAAACAAGCGAGGTGTGAAGAGATCCAATGGTGGAGAATTCATCATCGCGTAAAGGAAGAAGAGTAGCAGAGCCCACGACGAGGAGGAAGAAAGAGGAGGAGGAGTTGGAGGCCGTTGATAAATCGGGGGATTTGATCGAGTGTTCCGGTAAGTATTGCCGATCATGCACCGCCGGGGTAATCGCCGACTGTGTGGCACTCTGTTGTTGCCCCTGCGCTTTGCTTAATCTCTTGACGCTCGCATTGGTTAAAGTCCCGTGGAAGATGGGGAGGAGGTGTTTGGGGTTGGGGAAGAAGAAGAAGGGAAACAGGGTGGAAATGGAGAGAAAATGCGAGAAAATGAGGGAATTTTCGACGGTGTTTGGGGAGGGAGAAAATTTTGACGATAATGGAGAAGAGAGGAAAGAAATGGGGAATTTCAGTGCGAGATTGGAAGCTGAGAAAGTTTGGTTAGAGTTGTATGAAGTTGGGCATTTGGGATTTGGTCGGGTTTCTTTCACCGGTACTTGAATATTTTCTTTTCTCTGTTTGGTTCTAGGGAAAATGTGAAGAACATTGTTGTTTGGACTGTAAAGTTTTCATAATTTTTTATTTTCCCCCCTTTTTGGTTGGTTTAGAGTCGGATTAAATATAATATTAGATTTTATCTGTTTAGATTAGTATACAGTGACCGAGGATGGTACGAGATATGTTGAAGGCAATCTTAATTTCTAAAAATTTAAAATATATATTATATATTAGTGATATAATTCTACACTCATAAAATTTTATAATTTCATATCTTTTAAATTTATAATATGCTTTTAAAAAATTTATACATCTAATATAAAATATTGCGGTTGTTTTTTACAGTAATTTATAAAAAGAAAATGTCATATAATTACGTTATATTTTAACTTTTTAGCTTATGTTTTTAGCATTTTTGCACAATATTTGCATGGGAAGTCATGTACTTCTTTAAATATTACAGATAATAATAATATTATTAATTAAATTAAATATAATTTTAAATTAGATCCTAAACAATAATGAAACTAAAGCATCGAGATGTTAAAATTGAATGGAGTAAATTAGATTGATTTGTTTAAAGAGATGAAAATGAACTTTGCTTTTTACGTTAAATTAAAAATAAAATAATTAGAATTAGAATATTAAAAATAAATATCTAAAGTGTATTATACTTTTTATTTAAGTATTTAATTTCTTTTATCAAAATAAATACATAAAATATATTAATTTTTTATATAAATCAAATGATTTCAGTGATTAAGAGATTTGTCGTTATCTCTTGAGGTCTTGGGTTTGAACATCACATATCTAGGGATATAAGCATATATCGTCAAATGATTGAGAGTTTTTGATCAGATAATACCTGAAGCTTTTAATTTATCCTCATCTAACGATTTAAAAAATGTGTAAAACAAAATTTTTTAAGTTGGGAATAAATGTATTATAACCCTAACTTAAAAAATTTAATAAAAATGATGCTCGGGTGAGTGCGGTGGCGGAGCGCCTAGATGATAAGAGGCGGAACGGAGAGAAAGGATTTGTAGTATGAGCAGTTAATTGGTTTAGCAATGAAAAAGTATAAAATTAAAGGGGCGTTCCGAGAATCGAACTCGGGACCTCTCGCACCCAAAGCGAAAATTATACCACTAAACCAAACACACACATCCAACAGGAATAGTTATAATTTAAAATATAAATAAAATAAAATAGATTAATATTATTCAAGAAGATATCGAAAACAAATATATAAATATAATTGTTATTTTAAATAATGAATATCTAAGAATTAATACTTACATTCACTATGAATTCATTAAAAAAATACAATAATTAAAATATTTCATCCGAACTGTTCATGGCCATCATTATTTGAGCTATGAATTGATTTTGTTATCAATATAATAGTCATTGATTATGTTATCCCAATGACGTTTCACAAGTGAAAGAAAGCATAACTTGTTTGATTGCCAAGAAAATTGGCATATCACCACCTTCTACGTCTCCTTCCATACCAATATGCAAATGCAGATACTGATGCAGCCAAAACTACACCCGCCGTCGCATGCCATGCATAGACCGGTGTTTCGAGAACAAGGCTAGAAGTTCCGCCTTCGATCCGCGGGGTTTGCGGTTTCATTTTCTTACTTACAGTCAAAGCGAAGTTCAAGCCCTGCCTTCCAAGGTCGTCCGGATCGTCAACCGTCAGTTTAAGCCGAGTGGCATTACCTATTGCTTCGAACTCTTCTTCCGTTCCCCCTTCGAGGAATGATCCGACGAGACGACCATTGTTTATCCAATAAGCCCCAAAGGTAGTCCCCAAATAATCCCCAAAATGCACTGCCTCCCCTGCATTGTCCCCGTAGAACCGCCAAGAAAACGCAAAGGCTTTCGAGTAGAACAATGGCAGGTATTCGAACTCGCCCGTCTTATCCGGGTCCAGGATTGCAGCGACAGCATGTTTTGCAGATTTCCGAGCTGAATCCACATGCTCGAGCCTGTGGATTCTACCATAGAGATCGACAGGAAACACCGCAACATCCCCGACCGCGTAGACCGAACTGTTGCTTGTTTGGAACTTCCCATTCACTTTGATCCCACCTTTCTCCATTCTCAATTGTCCTTTGAACAGGCTCGTGTTTGGACGTATTCCGATTCCGACAACAACCATGTCAGCAGGGATCCGATTACCGTCTCGAAGATTAACAGCGGTTACCTAAAGAGTTGCAACTTTTTTTAGTCATGGCAAATGATTAAAACTGTAAGAAAAAGCATAAAAACATGATTTACCTTTCCATTGGAATCAAATTCAAATGATGATAGAATAGTTCCTCTGATGAACTTAACTCCTCTAGATTGATAATAATCCTCATAATATGTCGCAATCTTCGGCGTAAACAGACGAGGCACTACGACATAGAAAGATCTGATAATTCGTTTTTTCTCAAAAAACCCGTGTTCGATAAAGAGACAAAGATACTCACTGCAATGAGCTTCGGGGAAAACCATGGTTACATCCATTTTATTGCTCACCAAAGATGCAGCACACTCCATTGCAAGGTACCCACCACCAATGACCACAGCGCTTCCACCGGTACACGATTGCATCACGTTAACGAGGCGGTTTGCGTCGGCTAAATCTCGTAAATAACATATGTTCTCAGCTTCAGATCCGTTCACTCCGAATTCTTCGAGCTTTAAAGCCTACCGTTCAACAAACATAGATACACGGACATCTGTATCGATACCTAAAATCGATTAGATGTTAAAAGGCTTAATTAATTTGAATACCTGAGCACCTGTGGCAATGATGAGGATTTGGTAATGTATGGTCTCTCCTGGAGCTGTTAATAGTGTCTTGTGTCCCACGTCGACGGATTCAACTCGAGTTCCGAGAACTAATTCGATTCCTAAATAATGATTTAGATTAAAACATAACATTAATAATATCGAATTAAAGTATGAAAACTATATTCTTAAATTATACAAGAATCATAATTAGACCTATATTTTTCAGACAAATATATTGGTTTGTATGATATGTGTGAATTAAATGAAATATTTTACCATGTTCCTCGTACCATTGGGGAGTTAACAATTCCTCATTAGCACCAACACAAGTATGAAACAATGGAAGGCGTGCAGGAGCTGTGGATGAATTCACAACTTTATCAACAAAAATCCATAGAATATTAGGCTGAAAGAAGATCGAAAAAATAATTCACAGGTAGTATCCGCTCATATTACGTAAAAATTATTTATTTTATACGAAAATATGATTATGAGATAAATTTAAGTGGATGACTAAATTTAAAACTCTGTAAGGGATGGTAATAGGTCGGGTTTTTTTTAATCCGACTTGATCCGAAATATATATATCTTCCATCCAACTCGACTTGACCCGAAGAGCATAATTTATCCACTTGAACCCGACCCGAACCGACCCAATATAAAATAAAGACCTAATTAAAAAAACTATAGAGAGGTGAATATTATAGCAATTATCCATAAATTTATATGAAAAATTATACTATTACTCCAGGGTTGGGTCGGAGATTTTTCACCTTCACCCAGCCCAAATTTTTATTTTAATCTTAACCGTACATTCAAATTCATCCAATAACTATAATTTCGTATAAAATAAACGAATTTTTAGGCAATATAGGTAAAACCAAAAATATATATAAGTGGAAGATGTTCTTACATTCAGGAAGCAAAAACCCTTTGCTTAAAGTAGGCCTCTCATATGGGGCAACCTGAAAAAAATTTACATTCTTCATAAATAAATTATGATATAAATTAGAGTAAGCTATACTGGATACCATTGAACTTTTGGTATTGTATCGTTTATACCATTGAATTTTTTATTTTGCCAATTATAGCAGTGAACTTTGATTTTCATTTTAATTATACCACTTAACCGTTAAATCGTTAACGGTACAATGACATGGATGACGGCTTTCGACGTAGACACCTCACCAAAACGACATCGTTTTGGTCTGACTATTAATGATTTAACGACTCAATGATATAATTGAAACGAAAATAAAAGTTCAATGCTATAGTTAGCAAAATTGAAAGTTCAATGATATAAACGATACGACGCCTAAAGTTCGATGGAATCTGGTGTAATTTACCCTATAAATTAATAAATATAACCTTCGAATTTGAAAGTTGATTGAATTTTAGATGAATTTTATCTAATACTGAATCAAATATAATATCCAAATTATTTGCAACTCACATTATCAATATTATAAAAATCAGATAAAATTTGATAATTATATTCATTTTAATATATATTATCGAATTTAGAATTTTTCGACACGATTAAGAATCGATTTGAAAAAAAAGGGTAAATACCCACCATAGATAACAAGCAAATAAGTTTAGAAAATGGTTAAATCAGGGGGAAAACTCACTGATTCTTCAGATATAATGCAGAGTTGGCCATGGGAGAGTCCTCTATTTGTGAATTCAAGTGATGTATATCCAGCTGCTACTCCTCCTCCGACTATCACGTACTCGAATTCTCTCCCCATTTTCAGACAAAATTTGAAGAAAATAATGATGATTTACCTTTATGGTTTCTTCTTGATTGACTCTTGTGATGCCCCGTGTGAGGATTTGTCACTGGTTAACGTGGTATGGTGGGGCCTACCTTTATGTTGTGATGGGGTTTTGGTTAAGCAATGGGATGGTGCCACGTGGGAGATAAAACTGCAGTGTGGGAGATGGATTTGATTGATTGGATAAGGTTCTCTTCATGTTACCACCACATGACATGAGTAGGGATGGCAAACGGGCGGGTCGGGTGCGGATACCCCCTCCCCCATCCCCATACCCACCTAATATTTTTCAATTCACCACCCGCCCACCACCCATGATGGGTACAAATTTTCAAATACACACCCGCCCACGCGGGTACATTCTCAAATCCATCCCCACACCCACTAACGACGTACCCGTCTAGACCCGCCTGACAGCAAACTTAAGTTATACATAAGCAACAAACATAAAAAAAACATGTCCATTAAGAAACATAATAAAATAATCCAATGATTATCTAAGTTAAGTGTTAATATAGATCTTAAAATACATAAAACACCATAATAAATGACATAATTAAAGTCTAGAAACATAAATGACAAACACATAATGTTTTTGTTCTTTGGCACAACATTCTAAAATTTCAGGCAATATTTGTGACATATAATACTCCAGTATTACAATCATCATTCTCTATTTCCTCCAACTGAGAGCGCTCTAATTTAAATTCACTACTACCTACATATATATAGAAAGTAAAACTAATATAAGTTAGTAACTAAACTTTAATAAGATAATTAAGCACAATTTGACAACTAATATAAACTAAATAATAATATTACCTTTAATATCGGCCCAAAGCCAATTTTGAGCATACATTAATGCTTCAATCGTCTCCGAAAGTAGTCGACTACGATAAGGACCAATTACTCTTCCACCTATACTGAATGCAGATTTTGATGGGACAGTGGAGACAGGAATGCCCAAAATATCCTTTGCTATTTGTTGGAGAGTTGGATAAATTACATGTTATATCTTATACAATATTAGAATTTATAAATTAGTCTCTAAAATTACCCCTAAATTCATAATGGTCCAACATTTAATGGATATTTAGCTGGGCGAGCGGATGTGGGGCGAGCGGATGTGGGGCGGGCGGATGCGGGGCGGGTAATGTCTCAAACCCATTACCCGTCCACCACCCGCGACGGGTACCACTTTCTAAATCCACACCCGCCCACTACCCGCTAAAATTATACCCATCCTCACCCCAATTGGAGCGGATGCGGTGCGGAATCCACGAAACTGTACCCGTTTGCCATCCCTAGACATGAGGGAGTTTATCTTCTGTTGATGTACTTTCTTAAAAAAATTATATTTTTAAGTAATATTTCTTTCGTCGTATTAACTATTTTAAAATTTATTTTGTGTGAAATAATATATGCGTCTGTATCACACGTTGACAGTTAGTTAAATAATAATTTTCATCTAACACATTTTTTTTTATAAAGAGTTGAAATGTTGGAGGTAAAATATTATGATTAAATTTTAAATTAGTCTTTAAACTTTTAAATATTTTAATTTCATCCCTATACTATGACATTCATTCTAAATTGATCCCCAAAATTTTTTAACATTCAAATTTCATCCCAAACTATGCATATATAATCACATCCCTGAATAATATAATCGTTAGACCAAATTATATTATTATATGTTTGAAAAAAAAATAAATTTAGGTTAAAATATGGTTGAAACTAATTACATATTTGGATGAATGTATGGATGAAATTGAAATATTCAAAAGTTTGGGGACTAATTTAGAAAGGAGTCCATAGTTTAGGGATGAAATTATAATTTTCAAAAGTTTAAGGACTAATTTAAAATGAGAGTCATAGTTTAAGGATGAAATTGGATTATTCGAAAGTTTAAAGACCAATTTAAAATGAGAGTTATAGTTTGGAGACATATAATGCAATTAACTCAAAAAAAAAGAGACAAAGTGACTTTTTATATAAATATTAAGGGTAATTGTGTCGTTATGGGTTTTTTTTTTGCCTTTTATCATATTGTTTCATCAAAATAAATCTAGCAACCTTTTTTTTTAGAATAATTTTATCATTTTTCTCATTTTATATGACTGGGCATGTGGTCAAACTAACTTCTTAGAACTATATACTCAGTCAATAATGGACAAAAAAGATGAAATTATTATTATGTAATTATAATAGTTTATTTTTATTCGACTTATCTTTTTTCGGTTCAATTTCTTATTAGTTTTAATTTTTTTTATTTTAGTCCATTCTTTAATTTTATTTATTATTATGCAATCTGATTAAACCCCGAACTATTGCAAAACCCAATACCCTTTACAATATAACCCAACAGGCCCAAAAGATGAGGATTTGGAAAACTCTAGATGGAAGACATCTCCACTAAATTTGAGAAATTAGTACTTCATGGTCTTTATATTTTTTTTCTTCAATTAGTCGCTGGTATCTAATTTATTAATTGACTAAGCCATATCATGTATTGTAGAGGCGAGAACAATCCTCCCAACTTAATTTGCTTCATTCACAAACGTAAGGGTTCGATCCTCTGACTTTGCTTAAGGAATCTGGTGTCTCATCCTACTAGACCAACTAGTTGTTAGTTTTATTATTATTGAAAAGAACTAACAAAATGAGCTATCTTACAATTGTATCATGCAGTTTGCCGCGTGAGTCACCGTGCAAGCCATCTACAACTTCTTCTATTGATTGAGTGAACGTGTGTCCCAAACGATAAATTCCGTGCGAGTTGAGTCATACTATCCACTATTATGTTCCTTTCACGAGGAAAATATTGAACCATAACCTTCCACTCTCATTGACATATCATCATAATACGTGGAATCATAGGCGACATTCCATACACAGAGAGCAAGAGCATCCTTATTATATATCTCCACAATAACGTTGATGACATTATGCAGTCCTTCAAACACACCTCATAGCTTTGCATAAGGACCGAACAACAATAAATTGATTTAGAAAAACCGGATACCCATATTCCATTTGCATCTCTCAACACTCCTCCACAAACCGCCTACTTTACCCTTCTCATCGCCATGCATTGCTTCCATTTGTAATCAGCTTCCACTTTGCAACACACTTCATGGTCTTTATTGTTAGCCTTGAAAAGTGAAGGCCTTGTTGAGTTATTAAATCGGGTAGTTAGTCAATGGAGTGACATAATGATAAAAACACTATCAAAACGTTTGAATAAATGATTACTTTGTACTTATTTTTTAGAGTATTTTATCCCAAACGTTTTAAATTTTAGTCAAATCAAATATGTTAGAAGAAAATTGTTAGTCACAAATCAAATATGTTAGAAGAAAATTGTTAGTTGACTAATTAAATGTCGACCCATATTACTAACGTCATATATATCCTTAAACAATGATGTATATGAATCATCACCGAGTTTAACAACATTTATTTATGGTTTTTCCATATTATTTGAAGTGACACGTGTTATGGGCAAATTCTAATAATTATTTAACATAATTATCAATATTTAATTTATTAATTGATTAATTCATATTAAATATTATAAAAATAAATTTTAAAATTTTAACGTTTTATCTTACTAAATTAATTAATTTTATGATATTTTATCATATCATATCTAAGATTATGATATCAAGGTAGGTGTATTAAATTCTATTAAATATTTAATGGAAGATGGGATCCAGCTCATTATTTATTGCATTTTTACATTTTTACCCCTACTCATTTAGGGTTTGAATATCAAGACAATGACAAAAGAAAAAAAAATAAAGGAGACCATGTCACATGACTTTTTTAGAGAAAATTAAGTGTGTGTTTGATTTGAGAAATATAATAAAAATAATTTTATATTATTGATTTTGAAAAAAAAATTGTTTGAAAAATTAATTATTTAATTATTTTTATTGATCACTTTAGTTATAAAAATATTTATTTTTTAGTAGAAAGTTCTAAATATGAAATGATTTAGTTTTTTAATTAATTACTTGATTGACCAATTTAAATTGGATTTTGTAGATATTTATTATGAAAATGATCCTCTCAACTTAATTTATTTCATTCACGAATATTAAAATTTAATTTTTGATACAAATTAAAGAATTTAATATTCTATCTCACCGCATCATAGCCAAACACGCCCAAAACCCAATACTTTCTCTTTTATCTATGTTCTCATGTGAACTCTCAACAAAAGAGGAGAAATGTTAATGTCATTCACATACATGTATGTGAAAATGAAATAGAATATAAAAGTAAATAATTTTGTGATGTATAAAATATTTATATAATATTTAAATTATTTTATAAATATTCTAATTCTTAAATCAAACATAATTATATTTAAACTCATTTAAAACAGTTATGTTAAGTAAATGTTAATTAAATTAAGACTTAATTAATAAATAATAATTTACTCTTAAATAGTAAATACCATATATTCTTAATTGACAATAATGATTTTATTAAACGAACTGATGTTTTATCATAAATATGATATAATAATATAAGATTTTATTAACTAACAACTAGTTGATCTAGTGGGATAAACACTAGATTCTAGTCGATCAATAGATGGAATACTAGTGATTAATTAAAAAACATAAAATTTTATTAAAAAAATATAAAGTTATTTTAATTGCAGTTTTTTTTATCTTCTAAATAAGGTAATTATCTAAAGTTCCTATTTAAAGTATATTTTTATGGTAAACTATATAAGTGCAATTAATTCCATTTGGTATCATTTACTAAAATTATATTTTTTATAAACGTTTGACTAATTAAATTGAAATGTAATTAACTCGTAATATTATTTCAATCAACTATTAAAACTATATTTAATATTATATTTAGATAAAAAATTAAAAAAATCATTTTCATATCAAATTTTGATGAATTAAATAATGGAAATAAAACTTCAATTATTAAAACTTATAAATTAGTAACTATTATAATAAAAATGATAAAGTATATTCGAGACG